GATGTTCATGTTGCTGCAGTCTGCAGTCTGGACGCTAGATGTCGCTGAAAATTACACACTGTAGCTTTAAAGAATTCATTGAGAATCCTAAATCTGTCACATTCTTACAAGTGTCGATCATTTTCGGACCAGAACAGAACATCTCCCCATTTTAACTACTGTTTTCTAATTTGTAGGCTGACAAACCAAAATAGGCACCTGTTCCTCTTTCCCTCATACCCCCAGGGCCTTGCTCTGATCAACGGTACCCAGATGATCACCTCTTTAGGAGCCGAGGCTGTGGAGCGCGCCCAGGCCATCGCCCAGCAGGCGGACATCGTCGCCGCTCTTACTCTGGAGGTGCTGAAGGGAACCACTAAGGCCTTTGACAGCGGTGAGGAGCAGCAGATGTGAATAAATCCACATAAAAGCTGTACTTGCTCACATGTATGTCACTTCCTACAATAAATGCTTATACACTGCTGTCCTCCAATAGACATCCATTCCCTGCGACCCCACCCAGGACAGACGGAGGTCGCGCTACGCTTTCGCTCGCTGCTGGACTCTGATCACCATCCATCTGAGATTGCAGGTCAGCAAACAAACCCATACTCTAAAGCAGGATTAATGCAATGACACCCATTTCTTATAGTGACCCACATTAAATATACCATCAATACTCAGGTGTGGAGAGATAGGAATGCTATTTTTATCACCTCTAGCAATGAAACCATACTTCAGTCTCAGATCTTTGATTAGAACGATCAAACCTTGTTTCTTTCCCATGTGGATTCGGTACAACTTTGTTTTCTTATTAAATTAGGTCTCCCCTGTGCCCTTTAGGTGTCTGATTCATGTGTGTGATGTGAACGTGTATTTTCAGAGAGCCACAGGTTCTGTGACAGAGTCCAGGACGCCTACACCATGCGCTGCTGTCCTCAGGTACCTTCTGGTCAAATCTGGCTGTGATTAATCAGATAATTAAACCATTGAGGTTAAGCAGCTCAGGATCTCCATAAGATAGTTACATCTTTTCTAGTTAATTTGTAGTGAAATTATCTAAAACATTTAGAGTCAGTTATTAGCCCAGATTGTTTACTACATGTGTAGAAAAACACAAAAACGTCAGTATTTCTAATTATTAAACCATTTGGATTAATTACACACAGAGTGATGCATTATATTTTTTTGTTAAAGGCATACTATGCAACATTTTTCAGTTAATTAATGTGTTCCGTAACGTTTTGGATGATTAAATGAGTCATTTCAGGTTGAACAAAGGTTTTCTCGGCCGCCCTGGTGGTCTGTAGGGGAAATAC